TTTTTCCTCCGGGATTTTCAGAAAAGTCCACTTTCATCTCTGGTTAACTCACTCTTTCCTGTTCTCCTCAGCATGAGCAACAGCAATCCAGAGTCTTTGACCAGGTGATGGGGTTGGGGGACTTTGCTGACTCCTCCCAAGGCTCCAACACCTCCTCTAAGAGCGGCGGTCTGGAGGGGACAAAGGCCGCCGATGAAATTTCAGGATTAGAGGCGCCTCATCATCCAGACGAGGACAGCAGCAACAGCAGCAGCAGGCAACAGGAAAAGATTGGTGAGGGGGTGGAAGAGTCGTCATCTCCTCGCATTGCTTCCCCTGTCACTGACCAGCGCTCCTCATTTACCATGGGACCCAGTGAAGGAGGAGGAAGTGGCGAGGCAGCATTTGATGATGCCTTGGATGGCCTTCCTTCATTTGGTCCTGAGGAAGAAGAGGAGGAGGATGAGGACTGGCACTTTGCTCTGCCAGCGGAGACACTGCAGGATGATGACTGTGACAAATCAAAATGCAAAAGTAATCAATTGAGAGAGAAACATAACAAAATTCAAGAAGATCGTTCTCCTCTGGAGCCCAGAGAGGAAGTCGAGGAGGAGCAAGAGAGGGAAGTGACTAGTTGCTCTGCCAACACTTCCCACTCATCCAAGGACAACACACCTGAGAGCAGCCGAGGTATGTGCATTGTGCAACCCTATCCAATTGATCCATCTATCCATTTTCAATAGGAAGAGGGAGACAAAACGAGCCCTCAGCACCAGCGGCCACTGCATAGATTTCATCAGTCTGCCCCCTGTCCCAAAAAAAGTGTCCGTGCATGACGCCGTGGGAGAGTGGCTAATGGCGGAGGTTTCATAATTCATAAACATTATTAAAAGCTCATTAGCTGTGTTCAGTCGCCTGCTGCTTCTCCTCCTCAAACTGCCCCATGTAGGGTACCCAAATAGGTACATGTTCCCCTTGAGGTAGACCAGCTTGTCAAAGCTGGCACAGGCCAGGGCGGTCCTCTTTGGCCGGAGAATCTCGCCAGCTGTTGAGAAAAACCCCTCTCCACAGCATCGGAGCGAGGGAGTTGGGTGTTATATTTAATATATAAGTTTACCCATGCCTCCCTGTGCTCTGCTGGCGCAATCCCAATGCAGTACGTGCAGTTGGGTGACCAGTGGCGCATTTGAAGCATTTCAAGGCAATTTTTGTCCTTAGCCCATTTCCCCCGAGTAGGTCGAAATGAACTTTTGGTCGCCTCGCGTCTGTGTCAAAAAGTGTACCTCTTATGGCACACGCATACGCGTGAATAAACAGACACACACGAATAAAGTGAAAAACAAACACACACACACACACACACACACACACACACGGTGTGGGATGAGAACGTGCGGCATACAACATAGCCAGATTTCTTAACCAGCTAGATTGAATTGTTTACAAGTGTTTAAGTGTCAACCATATTCACCCTTATTTTGTCTGTCCATCTATCCACAACTACTGTGTTGTACCTGCGAGTGCAAGGCAAAATGATTGACACCCCATGTGTCTATGATTGTGTGTCTGGTTGTTTTTCCTCGATGTGTGTGTGTGTGTGTGTGTGTGTGTGTGTGTGTGTGTGTGTGTGTGTGTGTGTGTGTGTGTGTGTGTGCGCGTGTGTGTGTGTGTGTGTGTGTGTGTGTGTGTGTGTGTTTTAATCAGATTTAGAGGTACAACATGGGGCCAGAGAGGGATGATTGATTTGATTTCTTATTCTTCTTCCTCTTGATTTATTATTATTATTATTATTATTGTTATTATTATTGTCCCTGGTATTTTACCAACATACTACTGTTAGGTATACACCGAAAGTTTTAACAGATCTGTTAGTGACTGTTTTTCTTTTCTTGTTTGTTTTTGTTGTGTTTTGCTAACTCCCCCTCTAAAACATGACTTTTTAACCTCTGATCAGATGCAGGAACTCTGACTCGGATGGAGCAAACAGAAGACAGTCGGCAAGGAGAGGTGGGTTCAGTTGAGTAAGGATGGAAATGATTCATCCAAAATTCCATTCCATGTGCTCCTGCTCTTTGTGCATATATTATATGTATGTGTAATTTTACTAAGCGTTGCCATTTTCATTGTTCGTATTGTTTTTTTTTTTAACTTTGTAATACTATTAGACCTTCAATGAACATGTCTTCAGTATTGAGCACAAATCACATTTATAATTTCACTCACCAAGCACACTGGGAAAGGACCAAATATGATAGTTCTTGTTCAGAACAAGCTTGGTTTTCCATAAATCATTCGAACTTACTGCTTTAACAATGTCAAGTGTCAAATTTTTAAAAAAGGTCCTTTGTTATTTGGTATGTCAGCGGTCCGAGGCTCCTCCCGTGGAGGACAGCAACCCTCCGATTTCTCCCAATATCACCATTAAAGATGAGCCAATTGATGAGGGATACAATGCAGCTTTGCAGCCTCAGACCACCGTCAGACAAATCAAAGAAGAACTAGACCATCAGGAGGTAAGTGTTGTCCTTGCAAAAGCATAGAGCGCTTGTTCCACTGTGTCCTTGGATTTTTTTGGTCAGGTGTGCACATCACAAATTTAGTGTGGTTCTCAGAGGAGCACAAGAGGTGGTTGTATCGTGCTCAGATTTTCCACAACCCACCAACCTTATTGATGACTTAGACTTCCCGCACATTTGGGCAAATATGGCCTGTGCGCCACAACTGGCCCTTCCACAGACTGTGAGTGGCTTCGCAGCCTCTGAAATCCAACGAAAATGTTTAGCTTTTTATTTTTATGTGCACACTTGTTGGCAGTGCTAGCGAACAAGAGCAACGACATGTCCTCACCGTTCCCTATTTACATATATTGTCACTGTATTTAGTGACTTTTCGGATAGCTCAGCAACTGATTTCCTGCACGGGAAGAGGGGAGGGATGAGAGGAATTTGCCCAGGTAATAACTTGGAAGTGAGTTGTATCATGTCAGCCTCCTTTAAAACTATAGAAGAAAATAATACACACTTTCGACATTTTTATGAATGTTGATTAAATGTGATGAAAGGTTAATGGGTAGATATGTCACTTTAATATGACTGAATGTATTTTTTTGAAGTTTTCATTTTAATTTGGTAATTGTCATAACAGATATCACAAGTATCATCTTATTAAAACAGTCCACTTTACAGCTTTATAAAAATACATAAAATTTGAATTTAACATAGCTGAGATTAGCTGGCTCTTGACAACGGTTTCAGTTTCTCATATGACCCCTTTGAAAATTGATTCGCCTGCCCCTGATTATAAGGGGTGGGGTGATCAGCTGATTTGCCGCTGTTCTCTAGCCCAGCGGTCTAGCTCTTGTCCCCAACTTTGTTTGCACCATGGACCGGTTTCACATAGACCTGGCCATATCAAGTTATTTTTAGTGTACTGTATGTCGGGGACTGTGAAAAAAATGGCCTCAAATGACCCCAGTCAGTATTTTGGACACCACTGACATAGACCTGTTTTGATGACCACCATAGCGCCGAAGCCAGGCACCTTGATGGCCCCCACTGAAGGAACCATCGGTGGCAAGTGTTGCTTGCCATCCATGCTTACAGCTGAGCTCAAGTGAATTGTGAAAGGAAAGATCATTTCATGATGTGATTCCACTCATTATTTTGAAGAACAAATCATTTGTGAATGACAGAACAAAACTCGAGCCCTCTGTAAATGCAAATGCAAAATGCTGGATACACAACTGCGTAGTGACTGACTCGAACTGGTCCACGAATTTTAATTTCCAGTGCTCTTGCACACCCGTGCATCTGTTATTTGCACCTTAGGGGCGTGTTACACACCCGTCTAGGAGAAGGTGCGTAACATAGAGTAGGGAAAAAGAAGGGAATCGATCACTTTCGGTCCCAAAGTGACACAAACAAGATCAGAGCCGTCATCACCATTTATACATTGTACAATTTATTCTAAAAAAACAAATAGCCTAAGGCAAAAAGATATTTACAACATGGATTATTTACAATAAACTAACAAAGGGTTCAGAATTGGGTCAGAATCCAAAGGCATCAAGATCTGGGATGCAAACAAAGGAACTACAGCAGCCAACACAAAACAAACTAGCTAACTAAGAATGCACGAGAAAGGAGGGCTTCCCCCCCCCCCCATGTGCTGCAGTCGATCTAAATAAGTTTATATAACGCAACATACAATTTTACAAAAATTGTAAAAGTATTATTCCTGAATATTTATTTCACTTTCAACCACTCGACATGTTCAGTGGCATCAGTGCTATACATACACATATAGTTCTTATTTTTTTCTTTGTATTTTTGCCCTCTATGGACAATAAAAGCGGTATTGTGCTATGACCAAAACATAAATATAAATCTATATAAATAAAACATGAATTGGAATATTTCATATCACACACTTTTTATGCTGTGTCTTTGATTTAAAGATGACAATACGCAAAAATCTACAAAAATTGTAGAAATTGTAACATATGGGGTAACCCATGTGTTACAAACATCGTAGAAATTGCAGCACAAGGGTTACCTAGATTCACAGGTTGAAGGCCGTGGGCGACATGCTCTGCTGCTGTCAGATGCACGCCGACTCCTGTCACTCAGTACAGGCCCTTTAAATTTGCGGCGGTTAATTGTTGGCCAATCTGGGGACCGCTTATCCATTCGAGACCCTACTAAAAATATGAGCGCTCCCTCCCAACACAGACACACACACACACACACACACACACACACACACACACACACACACACAAAACAGAAGAGACCGCAACTTCACTGATACTCACAAAACATAACTTATCATCAACACTGTTCACATCAGGAAATATGGCAAGGGCCGTAACATGTGAAAGCACTTTTAATATCTTCTTGGCCATTAATCTTCAAAATTCGTTTTTAGATGACAACTATCCATACTTTTAAATAGACATAAAGTAGCCAACATTAAGCCATGAATAAAATAAAGTCCAGCAACATTTAAAAGTCGACACGTGTTGCTTTGCGCTATACCTTTTTATACCTTAATTTTTCAACTAGTCGTCACTCTTTTATAATCAATCTCCAATGCCACAGATATTGGCCTACTGATAGATATTCACCCTGTGAGGGAAATGAGGTATGATGCTATATGATCTATGGGTGCACGCATGGCAGGCATGTATGTACCCTACCTTGGCATGCTTCATATTTCTCAGAGAAGCCCAATGAGCCGGCTCAAATGTAGGTCAAAGGGGGAAATTTGTTTGAAATTCCTCATTCCTGCAGAAAATGGTAAAATTAAGAATCCGCATTAAAGCACTTTATAATGCTGGGTGGTCTCAATGCATTTTTCTGACACATTTCTTTAGAACTGTTGATATGTACTTATGGCACATTTAACTGCTAACCTAAATTCTATTTGTGTTTTCCAGGAAGAGCTTAGAATTAGCTCTGTTTACTCTGTTGGCGGAGGGAACACACTTGTGCCCCCCGTGGGTGAGTGTATACATTTCTCATCGTATTTATCATCATAAATATTAAGTAAATATCATTGTATTTATTTACTTATTGGGTCAGCTGGTCTTACTTTACTCAAAGCCGATACCCTATATCTATTACGCCTAGCACACAACATTGGCATGTTGTTTTTAGTATGTGTAGGTCTAAGGCATTAATTTGAAACGTCTGCTGTAATATCTGAAATTGTCCAAATGATTCCAAATTCCAAGTATTTAGTACAGAAAACCATAAAAATATGTCTTTGTTCAAAATAAATTAAAGGCAAAATAATATAAGTTCACCTGTTAAGCTTGACACGATGATGTTGGAAAATAGCGCTGGGCGAAACAGCTGAAAGTATTTCTGATCAGCCAATGCTGATAAATATTACCGTATTTCCTGCACTTTAAGGCGATTCGGATTATCAGCTGCACTTTCAATGAATGGCCTATTTCAAAACTGTTTTCATATATACGGTATATCATAAGTACAGTAGTGGCTGCGGTTGCACTATGCATCTGCTAGATGGTGCTCTGCAAAAGGAATACAGTGAAACTCCTCTAGAACGAAACCTGCATGGGCGAAAATACCCCCTTATGTGAAAAAATCTTCATGCATTAACACAATTCCCGTTCTCCTGCCCCCCATACGACGAAAAACCCCCTGTTGCGTTATACGAAATCATTTTGTCTGCTCCAGCCTCGCGAAGACATTCACTACAACGAAGTCTTATCCAACAGCGACCTCTACTGCTTCGTTCGAAAAAAGGCAACAGCAACCACCACACTGGTTTACATAGTGAACGATGTTTATTTCGGTCACAGCTGCAAGTTTCCTGGACTCAACATACTCATAGCTGCTCTGCCATTGGCTTAACGAGCATCATCCTGGCCTCCGATTGGCCAAGAGGCCACATAGACCTCACTGTCTATGTGTGTAGATACTTTGTAGCCATTTTAGCAATGCAACGTCCATCCTCGTCTGAATCTAACAATAACAAATACTTCCTGGCATGCAATGAACTTTTAAGCCAGCCACGGGGCGCTTCGTAGTCCTCGATGGCCATAGTTAGCTCTCGAAGACTAAAAACCTTACGCTAACTGGAGCGCTTCTCTCTCATTAGCGCTCCAGTTAGCGTAAGGTTTTTAGTCTTCGAGAGCTAACTATGGCCATCGAGGACTACGAAGCGCCCCGTGGCTGGCTTAAAAGTTCATTGCATGCCAGGAAGTATTTGTTATTGTTAGATTCAGACGAGGATGGACGTTGCATTGCTAAAATGGCTACAAAACGGACCTTTTGATGTCAAGCAGCTAAGACAAGAAGAGCTCTGATGCTGGAAGAGAGGGTAAAAGTGATCAAAATGAAAGACGGAGCAAGCAAAATAAAATACATTTTCCAAGAAATTGATGTAAGTGAAAGTGAATGCTGATCGTAAATTTCGCAATTTCTTTCCCTTTTTTTCTTTCTACACTGACAATATGAAGTGTCAAATAAGTGTGTGCTCATACTTATGTACTATTGGAATAAAAATAGAGTACACAAACGTTTGTGTGTGCGTGTACACATACGTTTGTGTGTGTGGGTGTGTGTGTGCTTACATCTAAGATCAAATTTGCTACAGTGAAAAACCCCCTGTTGTGAAAAATTTCTTGCTGCAAACATGATTTCGTTGTAGAGGAGTTTCACTGTACAATACAGCTTTATTTATATGGAGCCTTCACAACCACTGCAGCTGGAACAATGAGAACTGGTCACAAACACGGACATGAAACATACAAGTACAAATGGCATGACAAAACAATAAATGAAAGACAAAAGTTATAAAGACAATTGATTCAATGAAAAGGTGCACAAACCTCATGGGCTCACATCCAAAAGGGGCTAAATATCCTGAGAAGTCTTGCTTGTCCCCTTCTTCCTTCGTTTAGTCAGTAGTTAACTATGCTTTTGGTATTATCTTCGTTTCATAATGGCTGCACAGAGCTCACAAAGTAGTTATCTGTGTGTATTGGCGAATGCTCATGTCAATTAGTGTCGGGCATCACCCTTTTAGGTTACAATTGGTTCCTGCTGTTAATCACCACTAGATGGCGTAGGAGCACTAACAGGAAATAACTCAATGGGGAATATAAAGAGAGTTACAGGGCACACTGTCGGCTTTTGAGAAAAATGAATACCATAGCTGTGCTTTATAGTGTGGAAAATATGGTAATGTATTTATTTTTTTACCTGATCCAAATAAGAAAATATATTACAGAGAATAAAGATAAAATTACAGTAAAATACAGCCATCCATTTTCGGAACCGTTGATCCTCACTAGGACCCGCAGGCTTGCTGGAGCCTATCCCATCTTACTTGAGTGACCACCAACACAACTTCACTTTTATTTCTATTACCAAACTACATCACCACAATGTTTTTTTCTTTCTTTGGTAGTGCCTTCATGTAGCAAGTCGTTGGGTTGGTCACTTTATCAGGGGCAGGGACGAGCAGGTGGCCAGGACCACTTACGTTATTTTCCATATTTAAAAGAGGGATTAATACTTTGTTAGTGGACGAGGCAATCAAATTACTGAGGTACAGAAACTAAATTCAGTATTCTCATCACATAAAAGAAAACTGCATGTTTTGTTTCATTCAACGCACCCTAGGGATATAGCAATAGAATGTGCAGATGGACATGTGCAGATGGACATAGGCAGTAGAATATATCAAATACGACAGGTGTTTGAAGTGCTCATTCTTGTTTTTTGTTTTGGTTTTTTTTTTTTGTAGGAAATTCTACCAAGATGGCGGCCGCTTCTCACATTGGTACTGGATGACTGACATAAAGAAAATAGAAAAATTTTCGCAAGTGCATTGATATTTTTTGTTTACATTGTGACCATTGGTTCAAATGACTTGGGAAATTATGCAATTTGACAAATATGTTAGTTCCATTGATCACCTGTCTCATCAAACTTTGCCCTCTATCTTTATTCCAGCCCACCAAGTGGCAGCACCTGCTCCTCCACAAACAGCCATTTTTATTCCGGGTAGAGGTGCTGTTCTCCAAGCAGTGACCCCGCTTTCTGTCCGACCTCCAGCTGCAATTCAGACTTCGCTTACGTCCTTGTCGCCACTACCCCTTCGACCCCCTGTGCCAACCATTCCTGGTAGTGTTCGCTGCAGTGGCTGTTTTAAGGTAAGATTATGTACTCGCTGCTGTTCTGGCTACTCACAGAAAAGAAACACAAAACAAAGAATAGCAAGGACTATGGTGTTTATGACGACTACCAAAGTATTTTGTTTCTGTTTCTTTTACTATTGTGTTTAGGTTCTGCTCAAAGGTCAAACAGCATTCCAAAGAAAAGGTTCCACTCAGCTCTTCTGCTCCACCGTTTGTCTGACAGGACATCTGCCCCCAACAACCAAGAACCAATTATGTTCCCTATGCAACAGGTACATCTTGGTGACCCTTCTGTCTTTCCAACTGAGTTACAACTAGAGTCCCCTCCCCTCAACCTTTTTCCACTTTTGGGGAAAAATGTATAACGGATGTTTGTCAGTGTTTTTTGAAGAATTCTTTGGGATAAAATTAATTGCGAATACATTTCCAGTACAGTAAAAACATTTTTGTAAATAAACATAAAAAAGCCTGAAACCTTTGAAAAGTATATCACTTGGTCCCCGTGGGGTAGTGAAATTCTTAAAAACATTGAATTTAGGGGGTTGGCAATCACAGCTTAATAAGCATTGAAAAGGTCAAACAGCATTCCAAAGAAAATTGAATTTGATATCTGGGTCAAAAAAAATTTATTTTATTTTTTTTTGCCGTATGTAATTTCTTTTTGTCCCATTTCTCCTATAAAAGTGTCATTTGTCATTTTGAATCAATAACATATTTGAAATAAATGGTAATGATGAGAAAAAACATCCTGTTCTGATAACCAGTGAGAACCCGCCACACACAAAGCAGTTTATTTTTGTGAGCTCCAAGCAATGCACTATTGATAAGAAAGCACTATCAAAACTATTCATATCCAATATATGAGTCATATATTTGCACCCTGCAAGCTACAAACTGAACTTTTTTCAAAACGGCAAGGTGTACACTTCTCTCTAAACAGAATAATGATAATCATGAATTTTATTTTTAATGCAGTTTACATTTCAGCAATCCCAAAGTGCTACATAGGTGGCATTAATGAGGCAACAGACAAAAACGTGAACCACATTCTAAATGTCCTCTTCAGATTTTCTTTAAATGCCTTCTACCAGCAAATGCAAATTCTAGTATCACAATTTTTTAAATAAATACTCAAGCAAGTTTGGAAGATGGGAATCGAAATTTAGCAGCCAACACAACCATAGGCCACCATATTGACTTATGATGTTGAAACGGTTATTTTTCCTGTCGGAGGATGAATATTCCCTTCTCGACTCCGCTCAAAGCAGCCCTGGTCTAGTCACCACCGTGAGCAAACGCATGTGACACACGAAGCGCATGTTTCCGTCAGTCGACAATGAAACGGGAGTCCATCGCTGGGAGATCTTCTGTCGGTATTGACGCAATGCCCACTTCTGCTTAATCAAAATGCCGTTTTTAGACTAGCGAGGCCACCAAGAACATATTCTAAAGAACAGTTTTGACATTACTTCCCGTTTAAACTGATATTCAGATAAAACTCTGTCTTTGCCTTTGTTGTCTTTTTGCAGTGAGATTCTTCGGGCTCGGGACACAATCACAATCCCAGCTGATGACAACACCTACTTGCACTTTTGCGGCCAGCACTGTTTGTCAATCTTTAGACACAGGACAAAAAAAATCGAAAAGGCCCCTGAAAAAGTGGTTGAAAAGCGGCCAGAGAAGAAGATTGATAAGCCACCAGAGAAGCCCGCTGAGCGACTGGCAGAAAATGTTGTTTGTAGTGTGTGCAGAATCACCAACCGGGTAATCACAATGACATGAGCTTGTATTGCAAATAAACTCTGAACTCTAAATATCAGGCAGATTCTCTTTGATGGAGTGTCGTTCACGTGTTAAATACTTTTTTTTTCTTTTATGATCCTGTTTATACCCACCAGATCGAGCATGAGGTCAGCCACCAAGGTCGTCTGCACAAACTCTGCAGTGATGCTTGTTTTGTAACATGGCGCAAGATGCGACAGTTAGCCATGAACTGCTGTGAAGGCTGTGGACTGTACTGTAGTAGTAGTTCGGACTCCTACCATACACTCACTATTGAAAAATCAGAGCTCAACTTTTGTGGTCCAACATGCATTGGCACTTACAAACAGGTATCTGAAAGTTTCTTTTTTCAGAAGGAAAGACATGACACACCAAAGATTGTAACATAAAAGGTTGTTTCGTTGCTTCCCATCTAAACAGTCCTGCCGAAAGACGGTTGAGTGTGCCAGATGTCAAAAGTCCGCAATAGTATCAGCCACCATCATGGAGCGAGACGACAAGGGAAAAGTTCAACTCTACTGTTCACCCGTTTGTGTGCAAATGAGTCGACCACCGCTACACACACTAACCGGTAGGCCGGCACACAATCCCAGAAAAATATGGAATGATTTTTAGAATATATATAACGTGTATCACATAATATATAATGTGAGATGTTCATTTCCATTCCACAGGGGCTGCGTTCCCATGCTGTCTGTGCAAGAACGTAGCTGTTCCTCAGTACCACCTAGCAATGGTGGATGGCACCATCAGGAACTTTTGCTCCTTTGATTGCGTTTCTACTTTCAGGGTAAGGGTGGTGCAAGAATTGCATAATCCTAATTAAAGTATTATGCAGAATTCTTTTGGTTGTGTCTAACTGATTATTAATTGCATGTTGAAGCAATCCGCAATCACACGGCCAAACTGGAAAACGTGATCGTTGACTTCTTGTATTGATGACATGATTGTTTGAAGCCAAAGTTGCTAAAAATAAATGCATAAATAAATCTCTATGGCTGGGGTCTTTGGACAAATGTGACATGCATATCATTTATTTTTACAAATAAGGTATGCAGGCGGCACATTGATCCACTGGTGAGCAGGTCTGCCTCACAGTGCAGAGGTGCAGGGTTCGATTCTGGCTCTGGCCTTCCTGTGTGGAGTTTGCATGTTCTCCCCGTCCGTGCCTGTGTGAGTTTTCTCAGGGTACTCCGGTTTCCTCCCACATTCCAAAAACATGCATGGCAGGTTGACGAAACACTAAATTGTCCCTAGGTGTGGGTGCAAATGGTTGTTCGTCTATGTGTGCCCTGTGATTGGCTGGCAACCCGTTCAGGATGTACCCCGCCGACTGCCTGAAAATGGCTGGATCGGCTCCAGCACACCCACGACCCTTGTGAGCATGTGCGGATCAGAAAATGGATAGATGGATCGATGGATGTACCGTATGCAGGGATGTACTCCTTACCTGTACAGATGGAGCAGCTTCCAGTGCATGTTTTGTGACCGATGGCTGAACATTTTTTTTGTTCCTCCCCTGTGTGGCGAAGCTCCAAATATGAACCAACTGGACAGTGGAAGTGATTTTCAGATTTTTGTGGTATAAACTACATAGTCTGATGATGATCAAGACAGTTTAGAACAGGGGTGTCAAACTCATTTCACATGGTGGGCCACATACGGCCTGGGTAGATGTCAAGTGGGCCGGACCATTAAAATGATACCATACTTTGCTATAAATAACCAAAACAATATGTCTTTCCTTTGTTTTGGTATAAAGAAGCACAAGAACATTCGGAAAATGTTGAAATTTAATGAACATATCTTTTACAAAACATTTCATGAAGCACCTTACATTTCCTTCGACAAATGTGCAATTTACTTTTATAATTCACATATATGCATTGCAACTGATCCCACTGATTGTACAAACTTTAACAAGTAATTGGTTTTGAAAAATATAGTAATGCACTTTAAGATTAAACAAGATTCATAAAGAAAGCAAGTTTTAAAGCATTTACACGTGCATATAAAATCTAAATGTAATCCCTGCCTACACCTTACAAACTAAGGAGAGTGCTATTAAATGTGTAAATGTGAGAGTGCTATTGATAGCGTCTGCTGTCATGGGTCTGTCTCAGTGATGGACTGAGGCTGCTGTTGTCTTCTTCTCTGATCAAAACAGTGTCCCCTAGCGGATACTCAATGAATTGCACCTTAGTAAAAATATTTATTCTGTGTCTTTTATGCATTTTCTTCACTTTTAAATTATCCTGTGGGGCCTGATTGAACGGCCCGTGGACCGTATGTTTGACACCACTGCTTTACATAATCATCTCGCGGGCCGGATTAAAGTCCTTTGCGGGCCGGATCCGGCCCGCGGGCCGTACTTTTGACACCCCTGGTTTAGAATGTCATGTTGACACTAGGGCTGGAAAATGAATCGAAATGTAATCATAACTTCGATTTTGGCTTCCCGTAATCATAAAAATGTGTCTAACGGTCCTGTACGTGTTTACAAGTTCCTATGTAGCGAAAGCACCCAAAATACACCAATACACCAGCAAACCTGTGACATGTATGTGAGTGTGTCCTCACTAGGTGTGCTTTAAATTGTTTAATGATGCTGCAATTGCAGTTTACTGTAAAACTAAACTTTCATTTTCGAAACAATCAGTGCTAATGCTAAAGTCACTGAAAAGAAATCACATTCACATGCTAATGGCAAATTCAATTGCAGCATATACAGAATCAGAATGATAGACATTTATTTACTCAAATGTCCCATATTGTTTGAATATTTTGATTTTTACCAAGAATTCTGAAAATGAGGGTCTGGAAAAATCTCTCATGTGTAAGAACCTTTCAATGTTGTTTCAGTTAAGTATCTTTTTGTAATACCGGTACACTAGTTTTTTATTATTTCTTTAACAAAAACAGTTTTGAAGTTTCTTTTTCATTATTTTATTCGTTTTTCTTACTATATATTAACCATACTTCATTGGGCACAGTTACCTCAAAACGGATTTCATTTCCGTCGTCTGATTTAAATTTTTTTTTTTTTTAAGTTGTCCCCTATTCAGTCGTTTCTTATTCATCTTGATATCTTTTAATAGAAAACAGGACATGCTGGATCAGAGCTGAACAATGGAAAATCTTCTCCAAGGGATGCCTCGCGACTTGGGCCCTCCTCCAGAGCCAGCTCTGTCCCTCCCATTCCTCAGGACTACCCATCTTCAGCCCCCTATCCCAGCCACCATGGAAGTAACAGCTCAGTGCCCCCTTTGGTTCCTCCGTCGCTAGGCTTGACCTCAACTTCTGTGCCAGGGCAAGGCCATCCCCGAACACCTACTGCCCTTTCTGTAAAACCAGCAGAGGGTGGACCCAACGATGGCCCCAAAGTGACCTGCCATCAGTGTACTAAGCAGTTCATCACCAAGCCCCTGCTTTTTGGCCACAAAGTAAGACAATTACTCTTCCCTCAACATCTTCATCATTTGAACTCTGGAACTGTTGTATAATTGTACCTTTTTTTTTTCTCCTTGCAGGATCAGATTTCTGTGTTTTGCTCCATGGTATGTTGCGACGTGTATAAAACAGTAAACAATATCTTGGTAATGTGTGAAGTTTGTAGGAAGGACATGGTGCCATTTGACACAATCCATTACAATGGGAAAGACATTTTCTTTTGCAGCAAACGTGAGTCACCATCAATTCTTGACATTTTCCATTATGCAAATTGGTGTTGAGTTTCCATTTCTTCTGACCATACAGTATATGGATGTGTGACTTTCCCCCAACTATTGTGTGTTTCAGACTGTAAACAAAACTTCAAAATTTGCATTACGTCCCGGAACAAGGATCCACCCTGCCGTCCCTGTAGCTATTGCTATAGCATTAGCCAAAGAATGTTGCATAGTCACTATGGAGGCAAGCTGGAAGAGTTCTGCAAACCCCTCTGCATGTCCCAGTACACTGTACTCTATTATGGGGTAAGGAGATAGACCTGCATTCGTTATCAAAAGACACTGTTAACCTAATTGGCCCTGACATTGATCAAAAATCGAAACCAAATAAGTTCTATTCTATTATTTAACATTTTGATTCATTTCACATCAGCCAGTATCGTGATAGTGGGACTTAATCACTCTCTGTTGTACAGATGGGTCGATGTGACAGTTGTAGGAAGCAGGGCTACTTAAATGAGAAACTGCAGTACATGGGTTCAGTGAGGAACTTCTGCAACCTGACCTGCTTACTCGGGTACTGTTCCCTGAATTTTCAATCCACCCAGCACACTCCCAGCAACGGAACTGGAGCAGAGCAACCTCATGGTAAGATATGGTGATGTGTGAAGTCAAAATTGCCTGTTGCTTGGTGAGAAAGTGGATATTATTGTGTTGCATGAAATAGTCATCAAGTTCTTTGAGCGCCTGGTTCTGCCCCACCTCAAGTCACCACCCCTCTCCTGAACCTGCAGCAGTTCCTGCAGAGCCAACAGATCTGTAGACAACACATTTATACTAGTTCAACTGAACTACAGAAACAAAAACACAATTCACATGTAGTTAGACTTTCTATAACTCGGTGGTGGCCTTGGCCATCCATTATGGCATTGTCTGCTGGTCAGGCAGCATCTCGGCCTGGGACAGAAAGAGGCTGGAGCGACTGGTCAGGAAGGCCAGTTCTGTCCTGGGCTGCTCCCTAGACACTCTGGAGGAGGTGGGCAACAGGAGGATGCTAACTAAGCTAAAAGCTATGATGGACAGTCCCTCCCACCCCCTCCAGCCCGCCCTGACAGCACTAGGTAGCTCCTTCAGCCAGAGACTGTTACACCCGCGCTGCAAGAAGGAGAGATACCGCCGCTCCTTCCTACCGACTGCTGTCAGGCTGCTGATTAAAATATAAATAAATGATGTGGAAGACTATTGTAAATAGCACTGTGACCTTATCCATATCTGTATTTATATTGCACTTAATTGAACGGTGTTTGTTTTCTTTTTCTTCTTTCTTCTTTCTCCCCATTATCTTGCTGCTGTGGACTGTAAATTTCCCCATTGTGGGACAAATAAAGGATATCTTAACCTTAATGAACCATCATCTCCTATGGAGATTCAATAATAATACTGCATCGGATTTATATGCTACTTTTCTGGACACTCGACGCTCAAATCGCTCACAATAGATACATTATTCATGCAGTCGCACATTCACACTCTGGTGCCGGTAGCCGACATATGTGTAACCACAGCTGCCCTGGAGCAGAACACCACCAAACATTCACACCTAGCCATATACCAGTGTGGGTGGCACTAGAGTGACATATGAACTGTGCGTTCTGTAAACAATGTGTTTTCTCAAAGCAATATAAGGCTGTGCAGTCAGGAAACGTTAACAGTAAAATGCTACGGGCTCGATATCCGTGCAAACTGCTCAATGTGAATTTTATTTACCATATTTCCGGATTACAAGTGGATACTGTTTTCCCACGCCTTGAGCCCTGGGTCTTTTAATGTGCTGTGGTTCAGTTATAAATTCTTACTGTTCTTTTAAAATAAAATTTGAGTTGTAAATGTACCTTTCAGTGACAGTGGCAATCGAGTCGAATCTGATTGTGATTTAAAAGGTACAATTTTTCTTTCTCTTATTCCAGCTCCAGCCCAACCTCACCATTTCTCAAAAACTAACCCTGTCATTGCTGATGTTGTGTCACTAGCAAATGGCTCTGCAACTCAGCCCAGCGTGCCGTCGGATGTTGCAATGACTGGTGAGTTGATTTATGCGGTGATACATCTCACTCATTTATATTGATTTTATCAATCAGTTGGTGAAACTATTGAGTTGATTTTGAGTCAGTGTTTGCAACAATACAGTATTTAGGGGGGGAAAAACCGTGACTTGCAATTTACTAATTATTGCTAAGAAATAGACAACATGAACGAAAAATGATTTCAAAACACAAAGCTATTCTTCTTTTGAATAATAAAGTTTTTGTTGTGGGGGTGGGGGGAAGCCTAAGTACTAGCAGAAAATTTCAAGCCCCCCCAAGTTTACTCTGCTGCAAGTCTGTATATTGCTGTCAGTCATACCATTGATGTCAAATATTAGCTTTCAAAAAGCAATTTGTATTGTTGACATGCCACTGTCAGAATGAATTGTCTATGTACGCTGGCTCATATACTGTACCGTACTATACTGTACACTGTCATATTTTTCTTATTATTTTTCCTAATACAGGAGGACTTCCAAACTCGAGTGTAGATGGCAAGATTCTTGATCATGTATGTATTGTCTCTTCTATTGAAATGAGGACTTGTTGCAAAGAATGCAAGACAAGCACTCTAGGTCTTTGTTTTCGCTCCCAAAATGTGCAGGCCAGTACTCAAACGGACACCATGCGGGGCCCCCCTTTGTACCGACGTCAAATGAAGAACAAGTCCGTTCTTTGCCGGCCATTCACAATGGATCAAGAGAGCTTATGTCTACTTCTCGAGCCATCAACAAATTCTTCAGGTAAATTCAGAACAAGACCGTTTAATATGTCTTGCCAAATTTACATATGTGGCCACTCATGTAAAAAAATGAGTCAAGCTGACCCAAATTTCAAAAATGAGGTGTTGGCACACATAACCCCAAGTTGGGAAACACTGGTTTACAAAGTACAACATGATTAGGGAATGAGGATTTATGGTAGGGTGGCCCGGTGGTCCAGTGGTTAGCACGTCAACCTCACAGTGCAAAGGTCATGGGTCCGATCCCCGGTCCAGCCTTCCTGTGTGGAGTTTGCATGTTCTCCCCGGGCTTGCGTGGTTTTTCTCCGGGTACTCCGGTTTCCTCCCACATTCCAAAAAACATGCATGACAGGCTGATTGAACACTCTAAATTGTCCCGAGGTGTTCGTCTCTGTGTGCCCTGTAATTGGCTGGCAACCAGTTCAGGGTGTCTCCCCCGCCCCGACCCCCCCACGCACACACCCCCGTGACAATGTGCCTTTTAGTCCAAAAACTACGGTTACAGTAATTAATTGATTGTTTTCAATAATCTGTTGCAACAATTTTTACAGTTACAGTATGTTAGGGTCGCCTCACACTGCGCAGTGCTTCCAAATCCAGCTTGAGCCCAACCATCATCAATTCTTTTTCTTTTGCTATTTAGAACGTCACTATGATGCAGACACGTCAACGAGAAGTGACGTTAATTGTGTCAATAATGTTAATCAATAAATTCTAAGAGCATTATCTTGTGGTTGTGTCTTCCTTCATCTTGGATTTTTATTTGAACTTTATTTTCAAGCGATAACCAACTAGCAAATGTTGCCTCTGAATGATGAGAGTGTAACAGATGATGTAGTTACCACGCTAATCCCAGCTCCCTCTCTCCAAGCAGATGAGATCACATCAAATGACTCTGAAAAAGCTGTTAAAAAGATGAAGACAGACCAGGAAACGGGTGAGTGAGTTCCACAGATGTTACTCAGCTGCGGGTATACAAATACATGATTGGAGGAATAAATTATGTATGTATGTATCGAACTACTGTACATTCAAGAAAAATAGTCATTACAAGTCAATACCAAAATATATATATATCAACATTAGTACAGTTTAAAAAAAAAAGAATTTGTTCTTCATGGCACATTTCATCTGCAATTGCGCTTACAGCATTAGTTGCGTATCAGCCTCCGTTCCTATCCAATTCATGATGAAAGATTTTCTTTACATTGCTTTCACTCTCATCCAGCTCCATCCCCACCTTCATCAAACTGCTCCACAGAAGAGGAACAAGTGAAGATGCTAATGGTGCCAATTCCTGTACCAGTCTTTATCCCAGTGCCTATGAACATGTACTCCCAGCACACGCCTGTTCCACTGGCAATGCCTATAACTGTACGTTCCATAATTTTACCTGTTATCTTCTATAACATTTAAATGATTAGAAGCATCGTATGCACATTTCAGTATCTTCTCAAGTTTATTTTTTCCCCTAGGTTCCAGTACCGATTGTTATACCACCTCAGAGTAAAGAAGTGACAGATGCAGCCATCCAGTTGGATCCTTGGAAAGAAGAGCCCGAGAAGCGGGATAATGTTGAGGAGCCCATGGAACAGGAGGTCATTCCCCTGGATCCAGTGCCCGTTGTTGTTCCACCACAAAGAAAAGATATGAAAGATGTAGCTGTCCAGTCAGATCCTTTAGAACAAGTGACTGAAGAGCAGAATCAGGCTAAGGTAGCATCACAAATCAAAGATGTGAAAGATGTCGCTGTCCAGTCAGAGCCCATGGACACGCAGGTTCCCTTACCCATTGTGCTGCCACAGAGTAAAGATGTAAAAGATGCGGCTGTCCAATCGGAGCCTTTGAATTTGGAAAAGCAAACTGATTTGGCTGACTCCAAAGAATATCAAGTCACATCCAAGGTTCTAACACCCATTTGTATGCCACCACTGAGCAAACAAGCACTAACCACTGCTGTCCGATCAGATGTTTTGGAACTGGAGACAGCTGCCACAGCCCAGTCGGACTCTTGTGATGTGGAGACAGCGGCCACTGTCCAATCTGATCGTTTGGCTACACAGACTGCTGCACCGGTTCAATCAGATTCTTTGGATGTGGAAACAGCTACCATTGTCCAAACGGATTGTTTGGCTACACAGACTGCTACACCGGTCCAATCAGATTCTTTGGATGTGGAGACAGGTTCCACTGTGCAGTCGGACTCTTGTGATGTGGAGACAGCTGCCACTGTCCAATCAGATCGTTTGGCTGCACAGACTGTTGCACCGGTCCAATCGGATTCTTTGGATTTGGAGACGGGTGGCAATGTCCAATCAGATTGTTTGGCTGCAGGAACTGCTTCACCGGTCCAGTCAGATTCTTTGGATATGGAGACAGCTGCCCCTGTACGATCAGATCGTTTGGCTGTAGAAATTGCTGTACCTGCCCAATCAGATTCTTTGGATATGAAGACACCTGCCACTGTCCAATCAGATCTTTGGAATGTGGAGACTGGAACAAAGATGGATTTGGATGATGCCAGCAAAGGTGACGTCCTGACTGATGAATTCTCTATTGCATCTCGATTCCACCAGTTTGAAGTGTTGTGCAACCTCTGGCTTTGTATACATTATATTGTTGGGAGCATTTCAGAAATGTTATTTTGATTGGGTTTTTTTTTCCACACTGTAGAAGTAGAGTTGATTTCAGATATTGATTTATTGAGATATTATTTTTGACAAGCATTTACCATTTCATATTCTTTCGTTTTTTTTTTTTTACAGGCCAGCATAAAAGCACAATGTCAGAAGTGGCCCCTCCAACAATCCACCAAGTTGAGGAGAGTCCTAACACAGCACAAACCAAAATTCCTCCTCCAGTAACTTCACCAAGGAAAAAAGAGGCAAGTCGGACCCTACGTAGAAGTCAGGCAAAAGCTAAACCGACAACAAGCGAGAACCAAGACACGATTATTGCTGAACAACAGCCTCCCTCCTCTCCAATGACTGATCTGGAGTTTGACTTCCCAATGGGTGAGATATGAATGAGTTTAACAGTTCCTAAGACTGATTGTCACACTGTCAAATTTCACATGCCCTGGACCAAATTGTGTAGGAGAGTTTATTTTTTAATGTTATTTTTTTAACTTTATTTTACACTTATTTTTGTACTTATTCCAAAAGATGTAACAACCTTAACATTGAGCCTGTTTACCCAAATGATAAAAAAAAGATCCAATTTCTAGTTATCCTTTTGATCATTTTAATAACAATAGATATTGTTGTATCTAGTATCCTAATATCTCATTCTGCACCACAGTGAAACTCCTCTACAACGAAACCTACATGGGCGAAAATACCCCCTAGTGTGAAAAAATCTTCATGCATTAACACCATTCCCACTTTCCTGCCCCCACTACAACGAAAAAAAATCCTGTTGCGTTATACAAAATCTTTTTCTTTGCTCTTGCCTCGCGACAAGATTCACTACAACAAAGTCTAACCCAACAGCGACCTCTACTGCTTCGTTCGGAAACGGCAACAGCAACCACCACACTGGTTTACACATGTGCAGTAGTCCAGGAAGTATTTGTTATTGTTAGTTTCAGACGCAGCAAGAACGTTGCATTGCTAAAATGGCTACAAACCGGACCTTTGGATGTCAAGCAGCTAAGACAAGAAGAGCTCTGTGTGTGTGTGTGTGTGTGTGTGTGTGTGTGTGTGTGTGTGTGTGTGTGTGTGTGTGTGTGTGTTTACATCTGAGATCAAATTTGCTACAGTGAAAAACCCCCTGTTGTGAAATATTTCTTGCAGATTTCGTTGCAGAGGAGTTTCACTGTATAAGGCACTTCGGATTATAAGGCACACCTTCAATGAATGGCCTATTTTAAAACTTGGCTATTGTTATCTGTGAGACAATGCGAATGACATTATTATTATTATCATCCCTTTGTCTTCATTTGTGTTTGGGAAAGGCCATTTTTAAGTCCAAACAAATCAGACTCTGGGAAGCCTGCATTTGACTTCGCTGTCAATCAGGAAGCGGCTCAAAATCCTTGTTTAGGATTTTGCTTTATCACCAATCGCTATTTAATAGGCAACTGCTCAAATGGGAATTGTAGTTGGCTAATAATGTTTTGGTTTTGCCCATAGCCAAGTAATGTAATTGATTTTTGGTTGTTGTTTTTAAGATTTGTTGGATTTGAAGCCAGCGACGCCTCAGCGAGGAGTGAAGAGGCCTCGAGAAGGTTTCTCTGGTCGAAAACGGGTAAGATAACAGCACTGACAGGTCTCCTCTCAAAACAGCCTCCTATATTGTCAGCCTCTGAAAATAATGGCCGAAGTCATTTGAACAACAAAGAAAATGCCTTTAACATTTTCTAAAATTGACTACATCTTTAGTTAAAGAGATCATTCAGTTATACTCCTGAAGTGAAATTATTAATACATACGATCAGAATGGGGTTCATTTTTTTCGTGTATTTTGGGAGCTGGGGGGGGCATAGGAAATTATTTTAGGGTGTTGATGTATATTTGATTATCTAACCTTAGATAAAGTTGTGCTGATAGCTGCTTTAGAAGTTGGTTTTCAAATTGTTTTTACTTTGAACTACTCTTGTCTGTAGTCAAAGAAGACATTAAGAGTTAATAAATTGCTGGCATCAGGTCAAAACCTCCCATTTCGAAATTCCATCTTTCCACCCAGAATTGGTCAGTCCACGGGTGTGCGCTGTTTTTACAAATGGTTGACCAACCTAAAGTGTTGAAAATAGCTTGCTTTCTTTGATGAAGCAATGCTAATGGTTGAACAAACCTGCTTTTTTTTTTTTTAAATATCCTGAAAAATTTAGATTTTGGAGGTAGAAGGATTTTGCCCAACATCAGCGAGATCTGTAGCCAGAGTGCTCATCAGTGAGCAGAAGTGTGCCTGTTTTCTGCATTTTTTTTTCTCAACATTTTTGTTGACGCAGGGTCGAAGGCGAACTGTCTCGAAAGATCGCAGCGCTGTCGTGCCTCCAGTCAGCTTCAGTTTGAACTACATGTATGGCGTTAAAGCATGGAAGAACTGGGTGCAGCTGCACAACACGCATTCCAGAAGATGTGAGCAAGAGTACTATTATTATTCCATTGCTTTTATTGGACCTATTTGATCATTTTTGGGTTCTTCCACTTCCAGCCAATCCAGTCATCATCAAAGAGGAGATTCTTCAGTGTGATTCTGCTGAGCTGAGCTATGCTCTGTCTTGCTTCATCAAAGAAGTGCGCCGGCCGAACGGCGAGGCTTACAGCCCTGACAGCATTTTCTACCTCTGCCTGGGGATACAGCAGGTACATGCATTATTTGTGAGCTTCTTTACCACGATTGTGTGTCACTTCATCCTGACCTTTTGTCTTGTTTGCTTCCAATTCCCTATATGCGGACAGTATATCTTCATGAAGGGCCGTATAGAGAATATTTTCACGGATGAGCTTTACAGTCAGTTTGCAATGGAGATCTCTGGGATGCTGCGACTCTGGAAACCTAAACAGCTGCCCAATGGTATGTTGACTAATGATAAAACCATGCCTAATGTGACCTGTAGTGGACTATTTTATTGCACTTGATCGCAGATCTAAGCCAGAATGTGAACAAGAGTTGGTACTGAGCATATTGGCCAACCGCCAAACAAAATAAACCTTAACAGCATACGCTTACAACTGTGTGGCAAGTGCACTTTATGCCTTCGGCACACAGAGTGATCAGGACCGAAGTGGACCATCCCCAAATTGGGGACTCTTTGCCACACACTAAGCGATTATCACCCCACAAGCTGCACTCCAACAGAAAAAGTCTTGCACGTGTTTTGAGGCTCCACATGCAAAACACCATTTTATCTTTTTATTCCGTTTTTTAATTGAACCACAAATACATGGTGCGATTTTCAAGTATGAAGTAGATTGCCAGGCGGAAACAGGTGACAATAAAGGTATATATGGTACCATAAGTATGTATGTATACTGTATAGACACAATGGGAATGGTGAAGGTAACAATGGTGTCAAGTAGTGATTCGGGCACTGTGGGCAGTAAGATAAAGTTAGCTGTATCGATAGATTGTAGAGCTAAGATCGGTCCTAAAAAATCAAGCCCAACCCGAACCGGCCCGAAGGTATTTAAGCCCGACCCAGCCCGAGCCAGATCACTTCGCTTGATTTGCAGGCCCGAGCCCGAAGCAAACCCGACATTTCATATTTTATTTGTGAGGACTCAGGAGGAGGAGGGGTGATTTCTGATAACAAAGCCTGTCTTTTGGAACGAAATATAAGTTAAACAAGACTGTATAAAATTGATATCTTTTATATTTCTGTTTCTGAAGAGGTTACATTAACCGACAATTTTCTATCATTGATGGATTTTTTTTGAGAGTGGACGGGGAAAATTTAAGGCCGTCCGTCATTTTGACAGGTTGAAAATTGGGCCGTAAACCACCGCAGCAGTACGTCCTTAAGAATCTAGCGCGGCACTATAAGAGAGAGAAGCAGAGAGACAAAAAAGAATATTGATGGGTGGATCATAGAGACAGGAAGGAGTTATTTGAAGTGTCATTGCAAGAGTTTAGTACAGTACGTGATGTGATGAGGCGACTTATGTTTTTTTGCGAACCACGGTCTCTCGTGGCCAAAACTATTGACGGCCTCGAAAAAAAAAAAAAAGGCAGCGAGAGAGAAGCCCGACCCAACCCGAACCAATGATTGACATTTTAAGGCCCGACCCGAACTGAAATTCGGGTCGGGCTCGGGCGGCCCGATCTTACCTCTAATAGATTGACGGTAAAAGCAAAGTGTACATTCATTCATTCATTCATTTTCCGAACCGCTTTATCCTCACTAAGGTCGCGTGGGGTGCTGGAGCCTATCCCAGCTGTTCTCGGGCAGTAGGCGGGGGACACCCTCAACTGGTTGCCAGCCAATCGCAGGGCACACAAGAAACGAACAACCATTCATGCTCACACTCACACCTAAGGACAATTTGGAGTGTTCAATCAGCCTGCCATACACTTTTTTAGAATGTGGGAGGAAACCGGAGTACTCAATGCAATTTCCTCAGGTCTTTTCCATTCCACTCTCCTCCTCCAGGTAGCCCCGTGTCCTCTCGGGTTGAGGAGTCCTTCCTTTGGGAGTGTAAGCAGCTGGGCGCTTACTCCCCCATCGTGTTGCTCAACACGCTTCTTTTCTTCTACACCAAGAACTTCCACTTCACCACCTTGACGCAGCACCAAAGCCTCTCTTTTGCCAACTTCAGTTTGCACACAAAACCCTGCAGTCGAGCGGGCAAAGTCCTCTACCTCAAATACCAGCGAAGCAGTACTGCTACTTCCAGCCGTGGAGAGACGGGTGTGTGGAACATGTCTGGACCACCATGACACTTAGCATACTTTAGATTGATTGACAAGCTCTTCAATGATCTCATTTCCTCCTTAGAATGTTAAACAATCTTTGTTGTTGTGAAGCATTGAATTTACTGTGAGTGTGATTTTTTTTTTTTTTTTTTTTTTTTTTTTTTTTAGAGCGAATGAAAAAAAGGCAGGAAAAGGAGGAGGGTGACATGGAGATAGCGGAAAATGTTACCAACCCTCTGCACTGTCCTGTCAGACTCTATGAGTTCTATCTCTCGAGATGGTAAAACACACACACACACACACACACACACACACACACACACACGCACACACACACACACACACACACACACACACACACACAAACGTGAATGTGTTTATTTTTATTGTTTATTCGAAAGGGACAATGCACATTAATGCACACTGGTACAATTCGTGTGTAAATGTGTCAAAGTTAGCATACAGCTAATTTATATTCATAGTCCCTTGACAGGTAAGGTATATTTTCTCTCTACTCATGCATAATATTGTTCCCCGATTTGCTGGCATTCTTTATGACAGTGGTCTCAAACTACGAGGCCACGGACAACTACCGAGCAGCGCAGATGAAAGAAAGAAAAAAATTCCAGTACTTCTGTTTTTTTAATAATCTGGATGCTGAAACGTATTTTATTTTGAAAAGTGAAAAGTCTGACGCATACTTTAGAGCAGGGGTGCCCAAACTTTTTGATTGACTTTTCGATCAACCAACCTCCCGCGATCGACCCGTTACCGCGTACTCGCACGCACATACACATGCACGCCATGATGAGCAACAGCCTCACACGGAGGAAAGCGACGCACTTTTGCAGCCTATTAACTATCGTAGCTCACATGTACCGTTTTAAAGCGCTTCCCTCGGCCCTCTAGAGTCCTATTCTTTGTCCGTGCCCTCGGTGAATTCTACATGAAACAAACTCTGAATGAGAATAATGATAACGATAAAAGATACAGCGCAACAGCTCTGATCACAAGCTGCAATCGCAGACTGCTGAGCGCTAACAACTTCCGGTAACACTGGTCATGTGCCACGTGTAGGTTAAAGATTTGCCTGCTTTATTTAATTGTATTTTTTAAATACTTTTTGTGAAAATGAGACTGATAAGATGATTAGGGTGCAGTGTACATTAACACACAAAAAAATATATTACTAACATGCATAAAGACACACAAATGGTTGTTTTTTTTTTTTTTTTTTTTTTTGCTCCTCTACACCCCTCGCGATCGACTTGGGACCAGTCCGCGATCTACCTTACAACCGCGATCGGCGTAATGGGCACCCCTGCTTTAGAGTTACCGTAATGACCATTTGTTGCATGCATTATGGTGTTGGCGCTACTGAAGCTACATGAAAATACGACAGGATTTGTATTTGTCGATGTAGCATTTTATAAATCAGTGTCCCCCCCACTACCCTCATGCTGGCACCAGGCGCCGTATAAAACAATGTCATCTTAATTTATTAGAGGTTTTTTAGCATCCGTAATTAGCGATTGAACATGACTTCAGGATGACGTGTTGTGGCAGCAGTTTGTGATGGCAATTAGGGTTGGCACTGGGTCATGAAACCTTTTAGCCATTGTGGCTAAACAGTAAAATAATCTCATAGCCACATTTGAGTTTAGTTAGCCATGATATCACATGTTGATGTGGCGACGGTGCCGCCTGTTTCGCCCATATCTTGCTGCGTGCGCCGCATACGCATGCCCACGACAGGGCCATCGTAGCCTGAGATGTTGAACGGGTATCGCGCACCCTGGCAGTATGAACTCAAAATGGGCTCCAACTATCAAGCCGCTCAAGTCGGGAAGGTGAGTCAACTCAATAAAGGCATCCGCCATGCCACCACGCACTGCCACAATCAATTTCAAAATAAAAGTGTGCCAAAGTACCAATGTCCATGTATTAACTGTGTTTGGAAATATTTTATTTTGAAGTTGGCCTCATCAAGTAGGCTGTGTTTTCCGCCACAGAACACATCAACAATTGTTGCTGCTGCTGGCTCATGATGTTGCACACTGGAGTATTATTTTTAATCGTGGTACTTTAACATTAGACCTATAAAATGCTGGAATGAAATAGCCCACCACCCCCTAAACAATGAAAAGATTATTGGGGAACTGTGAGCAAACTGATCAAATAAGCATAGACTACTTACAGTCTAACAGTGAGAATTTAATTTGCCTGTGAGGCAAAAACTTAATCTCACACTCTCTTCTTTCCCCCATAAGCCCGCCAACAGCATTGAAGAGGAGTGACATGTTTTACCTCCAGCCTGAACGCAATGTCCACACACACAGGTCAGAAACTTCAATTTGTCTACTATTTACAAGTTGTGAAGCAGCGTGGCCTGTGGCTCTCCGGAAAAAAAAAAAATTACTGTATAATTACTGACTTAAATACCCTTGCATATGAGAAAGGAGAGCCACAATCGATGCACTTTTCATCTATTTTGTAACAATAAAGCACATTCGGGAAGGCACCGGAGCTGCTGTCAGCCACAACTCATGACCAGAGGCGCAGAGAAGCAGACTCGCTGACGTCACCTGCCACTCTGCGAGGCCACGCCTCCCAAAGGCACACACATGTCATCTAACTCGCATACCATAATCTGTACAGTGTTTTCTATTCACGTTTTTGCTTGTGTGAATAGAAAATACATTACTCTGCTTTATTTTGTGGGGAGTATTCTGATACTTCACAATATGTTTAAAAATGTTTTGATAACTTGGAGAGATAAAATAAGTTCAAATGTTTTTTGAGCGAAATGTCAAACTCATTGTTGATCACGGGCCACCGACACTGCAATTCATTTCAAAGGGAGCTGGACCTGTAAAATTCCAGCTAATTAAGATAAATAACAAATATTTTTGTTTTAATGCAGTTCTGCAAACATACATGAGGAAAATCTTTATATTTAACAAAGTGTTATTTAACAAAATTTTAACCACCTCAGATTTCTTCAGTTTGTCATCTTTATTTGTGCACTGTAGAATGATCACATTGATTGTATATGAAGGCACAAAACTCAAGTATTTGAAACTCAAAAATACAGTTCTGCACTTTAAAATAATAATAATGAGAAGAAGAAATAAAAATAAAAAAACACGTATTTTGCCGTGGTTTACTCTGCTGTCTACAGCCAGGTTGGCATTACAAATCAGAATCGCTTCTCAATTGCCTTTAGTTGGACCAAATAAAAAAAAAAAAGCGAAGTAAGTATTTATTCTCACCCGATTTTCTACATGGATGTAATAATTCTGAAATTCTCACCCAACACTGCCAACCACAATGTCTTGTTTATTTTTCACTTTCAAATTCATATGACTTTGGAGTTTTCATTCTGTTTTTATTAAGAAAAATGAGATGCCCAGTGACCTCTCTCGTGTCATAATTTCTCTCTCCTCTCCTTCTTTTCTTTGCCCACAGTTCCTACTGGTATACCTGTCACACCCTACATCATACAATTCTGCAGAGCATGCTCACTCGCATCTTGGCGGTTAAAGAAGTTCAACGGTAACAGGAGGCAGCCTCCTCTGAGTTGCAGTTTACAGTGACAAGCCCTTTTGGAACGGGAAAGCGTTCCCAAGCGAAGAATGATCACGTGGACACATGCCAGCTCTTGGCTGGATGTGAAGAAGCAGACCGCCATGCCGTCGAAAGACACACAATGGAGATTTGTCACCAAGACGATGATTGGACTCTTTGTTGAGCTTACCTGATTGGATGCCTGCCTCCCTCTCTGTTCGACACTCCTCCAGGCTGCAGGCATCTGCTACTGTTTCAAATGGAGGGAAAAAAAAAAGGAGCGTTCCGGTCTGTTTGATTTGTCCTTTTCTCATCCTATTCACACATTTGAACATCGGTTTCAATGGTGGTTCATCGACTTGATTCTTGCATCCCTCTCATCACGTTGTGCAGTGTGACATTCTATGCATTGTACATGCATCCACACTGTGCTACACTGCTGCTACTGCTGCTGTACCGACGCTTCCACTGGAAGATCCACCCTCCCGCCACCAACATCACAGGTTTTCAGCATTTTTTGGGCATCAAGCAACATGGACAGCTGACAGTGGCGATGGATTACATCATCAAAAAATACTGTGGGTTTTTTTTTTCATATTGTCAACCAAACTTCATTGAAGACCAAAAACAAAATAGTCATCATTTCAGAACTTCATCATAGCTTGACTTCTTTTTGACATGTGTGTTTTTGATTATATTCTCTTAATGTTTTTAAAATGGCTAAATCGGGATCCTTTGATGCAGTAATTTTTTCTATTTATTTTTTTTTAGCTCGTGCAGTCTGAAATTTTAGCAGCATGATGCCAGCACCAAGAGACGCGATGAAGGTTTTTGAATCGGTTCCTTCAGTTCAATTACAGAAAAATGCTCGATAAAATTATTCCCTGACTTGTTTTGTTTTGGTCACAAAGTTTTTGACAATAAGAAAATTCAAGTACTGTAATGTCACCAGCTACATGTTGATTGAGGTGGTGTGACACGAGAGGAAACTAAGAGTGCCTCTCATCCTCTTTGATGAATGCGTCACCTGATGTCCTGCCCAAATCATTCTTTTGTCCCTTTTGTGGCCTTATTTAGTGTCAAATCACCCCATCAATGCTTCTTTATATCCTTGGATTCTGCCTGTTTTTCATGCAGTTCTCTCTCATACTCCTTGTATCCTGTATATAGCCATCCATTCCTGTATTCATGTTCGTTTGCTCCCTGTAATGGTGCCATTGTTTTTCTTTCATGGGAGTGAAAACCCTTTTTTTTTCACTTTCGTGTGGCTTTGCACTCTGATTGAAAGAGAAGCATTTTTTTTGTTTGGTTTTTTTTTTAAGTGTCTCTATAATGGTCTGTAAGGTTAAAAAAATATTTTAAATTGTCAGACAATAAATAAGCACCACGTTTTTTTAGGGTCCACCAAAAAGTAACGGTGACGATAATTTCTACTCATTCATATTCTGAGCATTGTCAGGTGACCAATAACATTTGTTAAAAATAATAAATTTAAAAAAAAAATAAGTAAAAGATGCACTCAACCCAGTTCTTGTCCTAACGTACAGTGAACATGAAACGTCAATTAATGCTGGTTCAATGCAAGAGAGAGTTCTTGACTGTGGTAGGGGAAAAAAATATTTGAGCATAAAACAGCAAATGCAGCATAGAGGACAAGTTCTTAGTGTGTCTGCCTTGAAGTTCTGGGATTTGTGGTTTGAATCCTTGGACTTTACAAGTTCTCCCTGTGCTTGTCTAGGTTTTTTTTTACCAGCTCCCTCTCACATTCCAAAAACACAAGTTAATTAAACACTAAATTGTAGAGTGTCAAGTGGTTCAGTTCAAAGTCAGCTGTGATCGGCTCCAGTTCATCCACAACTCTTTAAGAACAAGCACTATATAAAAACTAAATGGGTGGTTGGAAAAGAAAAACCAAGTGCTTTGACAGCCCAAAACTAATACTGGATCTATTACTTTCCACGTTTTCAATTCTGAGGACATTAAAGTCTGCAACCCCTTTAGGCTACACCTGTTATGCTTCAGATGTGCATGAAATGGAACTGTGCAACGAGTTTATTGGCTAGGTAAGTGGCTTGCTCTAGTCTCACTTAATACTTTTATTTTTTTTTTAATGTAGCAAAGCTGTCATTTTAGCAGTTTAGTGTAGACTTTTATGGTCACTATACAAAACATTTGCCTGCATGCTGGACTGCTTGTGGAACAATAACTGCCATTAGTGTCAATTTTACTTCTTTTACAGAATCTTAATCCCTTATCGCAGGGTTTACGTTCCCAAAAGAACCTGTGATAAGTGACGTCTGTTTCATTGTGAATTTTGTCCTGGAGAAAATTTGGCAAACTGTGCAGTGATGTTAGCCAACCAGGATGCAGAACACAAGAAATGCACCCAAAAAAAAAAATCCGTCAACAGCAAAATCGTGAAAGAGGGATTACGGTTTCCCAAAATTTGTCAGATTGCATTGGCTTTATTTTTTTGTAGTCCATACTTTTGTTTTCGAGTATCGTGAATTCTAGCCCAAGTTATGAATTGCATTGCATATACAGTAGCTAAGCATTCAGCTTAGGGTCTTCATTTCATGTTGTGGGAACATAAGATGCCATGGGAAGACTGGAGCCCGGATTCAAACAGCCTCACTCTGTCACTGAGTGCCTCCTCACTGCCATGTTGGACCTCCCAATCTTCTCTTCTCCAAGTCGCTCACTTTACACCGGCACTATCAATTGCTGTACATGTGCCATCATATATAGATGACCTTCATAATTCATCTGCAATTTTATCCCCGCAACATGATATGGAAACACTTGGGGACAAATGTTGCATTTGCACACAGGATGTCGAGAGTGAAAGATTGTATTACTTTATTTCGGGGTCATCTGAACAGAACAGTTTCAGAACGCGAAACGGTCACACAACGCTTTGCTGCAGAGAAAAGTAATTGGAGAGTGTAGGAGGGTTATGAGTGGTTCTACTTTTGGACGGGCATCAGGTCGTCAATACCCTCTTCCATCTCAAGCCTCTTCTCCATCTCCACCAAGACCTTTACGCCATCAACTACCACCTGCACGAGCTGCACCTCAGTGAAGCCCAGTCTGTCAGTGTTGGAGATGTCCAAGACTTCGCTATCTGCCTCGGTGTCCACCCCACCTGGTTGGACAAATGACATTTTTGAGAATTTTATGTCCTGACCGCAAGCAACATTGTTTCAACCAAAGTAGGCGCCATACCAGTTCGTTTCTCAAGCCTCAGCCTTTTAAGAACTTCCTCGAACTCGGGGCGTTTGCTCAGGTTGGGCAACTTCACATGCACACCAGCGCGCAGACCGGTGCCCAGGTTGGATGGGCAAGTCAGGATGTAACCCAAATGGTCATTCCACATGAATTCAAGTTCTTTCTCGTTCAGCTTAGACTCGACCTAAAAGGGAAGAGTGGATGAAATCAGTCAACATCTGTATTACGCGTAACTGATTTGAGTGATCAAACCTCTTGAATTCCACTGCAGAACCGAGTAAACGCTGCCTTCATGTTGCCACCTTTCTCGATGGAGATCACTTTTAGATGCTCCTCTTCATTCACCCACACCAAGAATGTATTGTCATCATTGTGCCTTTCAAAAGAAGACGTGAATTTGAATTTGCATTTCATGGACCGGAATGAGATTGAGCGGCTGTGTGTCTCACCACACGCCTCTGCCATCGGGCCAGTCGCGGGCCATCCCGGAGCCAACAAGCAGAGGACACACTGGCTTCTCAAACAGCAAGTGGTCATCAATCATCTGCTGCTGCTCAGCTTCTGAAAGGCTCTTCAATGGCAAGTATCTACCCTTCAGTTCTCCAGATAGTGACCCTAGAACTGCAGAACAAAAACATTTATACACCCGACTGCACAGGATTCGTATTTCTGCAATATATATGATTGGTTGGCGAGCCCAAAACCATTACCTTCGATGAAGAGCTGCTCGAGAAAACGCCTCTCCCCACGAGTGCAATGTGGCGGCAAGCAGAAGGTGCGAATGTTGCGACCCGCTCGGACACGTGAAATCAGAACATAGTTGGGGTCGAGGTCGTCACCCCCCTTCGAGGGAAAAGACAAATGACTCACAGGTCAATTCCATATACAATGTGTCTATGAGTAGGAAAGAACGCTGCTGTACCCCAAGGCTGTCAGGGTTGAAGTCACTCTTGTGCACGTCTGTTGGTTTATAACCTCCGTGTTTATCCTCAATGACAAGGTCCAGCAGTTCTTTGAAGACCTCATAGGACTCCTCATCACCGGCCACACAGCCCATACTCATTGTGAATGGGTTTCCTGCACACATACACAGACCAATGATAACTTCCACCTCAGACCAGAATGCAGCTCTCATTCTCAGAATCAACAATCGCACCTGGATTATCCACGCCCGCCTGGATGACGCGGTCAATGGTGAAGCCGTAAGGGGTTTTCCGCTCGCTCAGCGTTTTGTACAGGTCCAGGGTTAAGAACTTGGCCATGTAGTTGTTGTGCATTGTGAGATCCGGAAAGTCTTTCTCGGGTGAAAGCTTCTTCAACTTAAGTTTACCAGGCATCAGGTTGTTGATGGAGGCACCCTTTTCCAGCTTTTTCTCCATGTCCACCAGCAATTTAACACCATCGACCACAATCTGGACAAGCTGCACCTCAGAGAATCCGAGTCTGTCTGCATTTGAGATGTCAAAGATTCCATCCACGGCAGCTGTGTCCACGCCACCTGGGCAAACAAAATGTCTCGGCATACTTTGGGGACGCAAGCAACCAAAGAAAGTTTTCAAAGACAGTTTTATGTACCTGTTCCACGTTTTTGGAGCCTCAGTTTCTTGAGAACCTCCTCAAACTTAGGGTGCTTGCTCATGTTTGGAAGTTTGACATGTACACCAGCACGCAGACCAGTGCCCAGGTTGGATGGGCAAGTCAGGATGTAGCCTAAATGCTCGTTCCACATGAATGCCTCACCTTTCTCCTTAATCACAGCCTCAAGCTAGACGGGACCAAGTTGATTGAGATATTAAGCATCATACCACCCCAACCCCTCCATTAACCAAACAATGTTTATCAAGAAACCTCTTTGAGTCCGGTGCAAAAGCGAGTGAACACATCCTTCATGTTGCCACCTTTCTCCATGGAAATTACTCGCAGATGGTCTTCCTCGTTCACCCACACCAGGAATGTCTTGTTGTCATTATGCCTTTTGAAGGAGACATTTATTTAGTGCGTCTTTATAAATCGTCAAATTTGGGGAAATATGGAAATTCGGGATGAGACTCTTACCAGATGCCTCTGCCATCGGGCCAGTCGCGGGCCATTCCTGAAGCAACCAGCAGAGGGGATACTGGCTTGTCAAAAAGGAAGTGGTCATTGATTAGCTCCTGCTGCTCTTGCTCAGTCATGTTCTTCAAGGCATAATATTTCCCTTGCAGGTCCCCAGTTAGTGTATCTAGAGCTGAAAAAAAAGCACCAAAGAAGATTTTGTTATGTCCACTGCCACTGTTAAATGGCAGCCATGTTTATACCGTCTCCATATGGGAGCCTTACCTCCAATGAAAAGCTTCTCCCAAGCGCGCCTTTCCACACAGGTGCTCTGGGTTGAGGTCAGTTTTGTGCATATCTCCTGGTTTGTATCCTCCATGTCTGTCCTGAATCACAAGGTCCATCAAGTCTTTGAAGACCTTGTAGGACTCCTCATCTCCAGCCACACAGCCCACAGTCATGATAAAGGGGTGACCTAGACACATGTTAAGAGTGAAATAGGAGACAATTGTACATGGACAGAAAAGTCCAAATGTAGAATTTGCCTCAAACCGAGGTACTGTACCTGGATTATCCACGCCTGTCTGAATAACATCATCTATGGTGAAGCCGTTGGGAGTGCAACGCTGCCTCAGCGTCTTGTACATTTCTAGGGTTAAAAACTTGGCAATGTGGTTGTTGTGCTGACTGAAATCTGGGAACTCTTCCTCTGCAGTAAACACATTGAGCTGAAGGTCGGCTGGCATGAGGTCATCAATGGGCTCCTCCTTCTCGAGCCTTTTCTCCATTTCCACTAGCAGCTTGATGCCATCGATCACCATCTGGACCAGCTGCACCTCAGAGAAACCCAGCCTGTCCGCGTTGGAGATGTCAAAGACCCCGTCAACGGCATCTGTATCCACGCCACCTGATGAACAGAGGTGACGTATTCAACCTCAAAATATCCTCAAAACGTACGACTTTGAACAAGAAGTTCATATGTACCAGTTCCACGTTTCTGGAGCCTCAACCTTCGAAGAACCTCCTCAAACTCAGGATGCTTGCTCATGTGTGGCAGCTTCACATGCACACCAGCACGAAGTCCAGTGCCCAGGTTGGATGGACATGTCAGGATGTAGCCAAGGTGCTCATTCCACATGAAGGCTTCACCTTTCTGCTTAATCGAGGACTCAATCTAAAAACACATCAATTCATTACAAGATGAAACGATTGAAACACCTGACTCCTGGATTGCTTGAAAAATCAAATAAAAACCTCTGTAAGTCCTTTGCAGAAACGAGTGAAGACTTCCTTCATATTACTGTCTTTTTGCATGGAGATCACTCGCAAATGATCTTCCTCATTCACCCACACTAAGAATGACTTATCTTCATTGTGCCTTGTAAGAAAGCACAAATGTGAGCATATTCTCAGGCGAAATGCAACCTCGAGATTCAGCCGCTGCATCTTACCACATGCCTCTGCCATCGGGCCAGTCACGTGCCATCCCCGATGCCAGCAGCAGAGGGGACACTGGCTTGTCAAACAGCAAATGGTCATCAATCAGCTGCTGCTGCTCCTCCTCAGTCATGTTCTTCAAGGCGTAGTATTTTCCCTGTAGGTCTCCGCTTAGAGTGTCCAGGGCTGAGTGAAAAAAATTATCTTTTAAATGTTCAGTGATACGATATGCCCATCCGTACAATTGGCTTGCATCATCAGCATGGCTGGCATTCTGCTCCATTTACAATTGATCTTGAAGCAATTAGTCCGCTCGTTACCTTCAACGGAAAGCTTCTCAATAGCACGTCTCTCCCCACGGCTACACAGTGGCGGCAAGCAGAAACCACGGATGCTGCGGCCCGTTCGGACCCGAGCGCTCAGAACATATTCTGGGTCCAAATCATCACCCCCCTGATGCATGAGACAAGTCATTTGTTTCTCTCCGGTACAAATAGTACACCCATGTCAGTGTGAAACATTGCTCGACCTTAAGATTGTCTGGATTGAGATCAGTCTTGTGATTGTCTTTGGCTTTGTAACCTCGATGTCTGGCTTCAATCACAAGGTCGAGCAAATCTCTGAAGACCTCATATGACTCCTCATCTCCAGCCACGCACCCAACGGTCATGATGAAGGGATGACCTAAAAAAAAAAAATCAACCCCCAAATCAAAGTTGAATGGTTGCCAGTTCTCAGGTTGTGTTAGTTACTGTACCTGGATTATCCACGCCTGTCTGGATGACATCATCGATGGTGAAACCATTGGGGGTCGTACGATCTTTCAGCTTCTTATACATGTCCAAAGTTAGTATTTTGGCCATGTGGTTGTTGTGCTTACTGAGATCTGGAAACTCGTCCTTAGCCGTCAGTCCCTTCAGCTCAATGTTGCTGGGCATGAGGTCGTCAATGGCCTCGTCCATTGCCAGCCTCTTTTCCATCTCTACCAGCACCCTGATTCCATCAACCACCATCTGGACTAGTTTCACCTCGGAATAACCCAGTCTGTCAATGTTGGAGATGTCAAAGACTCCATCCACAACAGCTGTGTCTCCGCCACCTGATGATCAAATGAGAGATCTCTTGGTTTTGGGAGTCAAGTCAAGCATATCAGTTGGCACCAAGATTTACAATTCACCTGCACCGGTTCCACGTTTCTGCAGCCTCAGTCTCCGAAGAACTTCATCGAACTCTGGGTGCTTGCTCATGTTTGGCAACTTCACATGAACACTAGCACGCAGACCGGTTCCCAGGTTGGATGGACAAGTTGGGATGTAGCCAAGGTGCTCGTTCCACATAAATACGTGACCTTTCTTCTTGAACAAGGACTCCATCTATCAACAGAATCTGGTTACTATCTCCAAAATCACCTAAATGGGATTATTGTAATCGATTAAATATAAACCTCTGCGAGTCCGTCACAGAAGCGAGTGAACACTTCCTTCATATTGCCTCCTTTCTGCATTGAGATCACCCTCAGATGGTCCTTTTCGTTTACCCACACCAGGAATGTCTTGTATTCGTTATACCTTTGAATGAAAGTATATCACATCCATTAGGACGCCTTTGAATGAAAAAAAAATCATGTACATTAAAGACTTTCCAAATGTCCTACAACTATTGCAGAATAAACTCTCACCAGATGCCTCTGCCATCAGGCCAGTCACGGGCCATCCCTGAGGCCAGTAGCAGAGGGGACACTGGCTTTTCAAACAAGAAGTGGTCATAAATCATCTGCTGCTGTTCAGCTTCCATCATGTCCTTTAAGGCATAGTACTTCCCCTGTAGGTCTCCCGTCAGTGACTCAAGCACTTCAAGATCACCAGAGGATAATTTTCACATTTCCATTCCAATAACGTGTCATAATGATTGGGATCTTATGACGCGCTGTCATTACCTTGAACGGAGAGCTTCTCCACAGCACGTCTCTCTCCTCGGCTACAATGTGGTGGAAGGCAGAAGCCACGAATGCTGCGGCCAGTACGGACACGGGAGCTTAGAACATAGTTGGGGTCGAGGTCCTCACCCCCCTTCAGAGTCACGACAAACAATGTCAGTATTGGGGAACAATCAGTACTATATGTCAGTGGTCCCCAACCTTTTTTTTTGGCATGGACCAATTCAGACAATTACATGCTGTTTACGGACCACAAACCATTTTTTTCCATTACTTTTGACAGTTTAAAGCACTGGTATTGACAAAGATGATGACAGTAATTAACATTTTATTTACAGATTTCTATCATTCATTTCAAACAATGTTATCGTACTGTACAATAAATGTAGAATAAATGAAAGTAGCAGTGAACCACGAAGAAATGGACCAATTCGAATGTGTCTAATCTAAAGATGACACGATCCAGTGGCTGCAGGCTAGTTATTAGCGACTCAACTGCTAACGTTTACGTGAGCAGGCTGCGCCAACTCTGTTCACATTCTTTCTGCTCTCCTTCTCACTTGGGTGCTACTTGTTCAAATGATTCAACAGATCAATGTATTGCCTAGTTTTTGACGACATACCATGCACAACAGCTCACTCCTCCATGTCACTCTGGAGTTACCGTGAGGGGAGGAGCTTCTTTTCAAAATAGGTTTATCTTCGCAAGTTTTAACTGTATGTTTGGTCTATTTGTGACTATTACTTTCTGTTTATTGCTTCTTTCATTTATTGCCATATTCTGTTTATTTAAACTTGCAAAGCAATGTTTGTAGGGGGACACGATTGGCTAGCGTCTCGCACTTTTCCACCACATCTGATGGGAGTAAATTTGCTCACAGCTCGTAGGTCGGTCTCTGTGCAGCCCGGTCCCAAATGGGCCGAGGCCCAGTACCGGCCTACAGATCGGTGGTTGGGGACCCCTGCTATACGTCATCTAATCAATAGTCCTTACCTTTAGTTTTTCTGGGTTGAGGTCAGTCTTGTGCTTGTCGGTTGGTTTGTAACCCTCATGTCTGTCCTGAATCACAAGATCCATCAAGTCTTTGTAGATTTCGTATGACTCCTCATCTCCAGCCACACATCCCACAGTCATGATAAAAGGATCACCTGCACATTGTCACCATTGTGTTTATACAGACAACAATGTAAAGAGTTACACACAGATTAACAATTTTCATCAATTGATGAACAAGGCTATGTTAGGGTGGCTACCAGAATTGTCCACGCCTGTCTGAATGACACCGTCTATGGTGAAGTCATTGGATGTAGTTCGCTCCCTCAGTTTTTTGTACATTTCTAGGGTTAAGTGCTTGGCCATGTAGTTGTTGTGCTGACTGAGATCTGGGAACTCCTCCTCAGCTGACAGCCTCTTTCGCTCAGGCTGAGGCTTTTCCTCTGGTTCACTTTTGACACTAAACAGAAAGATTTGTAAGACTGAGACCAAAAATGGACTTGAAAGATAATTTGATAATTTCGTTTTACATCTGGACAGTAGGCATGAGGTTGTCAATGGGCTCTTGTATCTCCAGTCTCTTCTCCATCTCTACCAACACCTTGACCCCATCAATCACCATCTGCACCAGCTCCACCTCAGAGAAACCCAGTCTGTCAGAATTAGAGATGTCAAAGACTCCATCCACAGCATCAGTGTCCACGCCGCCTGTTTGGACAAATGACCAATTCCAATGTTATTTCAGCACATAGTTGATAGAGTTTTTCTCCCACTTAAATGAAACATTTTGAATATACCAGTTCCACGTTTCTGTAGTCTCAGCCGCTTAAGAACTTCCTCAAACTCGGGGTGTTGGCTCATGTTTGGAAGTTTTACATGCACACCGGCACGCAGACCAGTGCCCAGATTGGATGGGCAAGTCAGAATGTAGCCAAGGTGTTCATTCCACATGAATTCCTCCCCTTTTTCTTTGAATAAGGACTCCATCTTAAAAAAACACCAAGCCGATCAAGTTACCAGAATATTCGGTAACGGTTTTGATCTTGCTTTTGTTAACCACCAAATCCATTTAAAAAAGATAATTGATCCTGACAAACCTCTTTGAGTCCGGTGCAGAAGCGAGTAAACACATCCTTCATGTTGCCGCCTTTCTGCATGGAGATCACTCGTAGGTGGTCCTCTTCGTTCACCCAAACCAGGAATGTCTTGTCATCATTGTGCCTTTGAGAGAATAGATGGCATGATGACCATTTGACAGTTCAACGCAGATCTAGGAGATATTACCCTACTCACCAGATGCCTCTGCCGTCAGGCCAATCACGGGCCATCCCGGAGGCCAGCAGCAGAGGGGAGACTGGCTTGTCAAACAGCATGTGGTCATCAATCAGCTGCTGCTGCTCCTCCTCAGTCATGTTCTTTAAGGCGTAGTATTTCCCTTGCAGTTCTCCAGTTAGGGAATCCAGGGCTGACAAGAAGGGTAACACTCAGCCTGTTATCCATCGCCTGTACCCACTTTGTACACTGCCCCTCCTAAAGTACTGGAAGTGAGGTCCATTTGATTAACAGTTGGGCTTTTAATTACAGCTACCATATATAACTTACAATCGCAGCTTGGACCCATTTTTCATGGGAGGAAAGTGTTGGAACAGGTGATATTATTTGTTACATTGACTGTTAAAAACAGCAGCGCTTGAATTTTCCCTCTAGCTATTTATATTAGTTAAGCTGTGACAAGAAAAGAAAAACAGTAGGGTCAGGCTGGAATTTCCCCAGAATGTTGAACGGCATCTCAAAATTCCACGTTTTCATGAGACAAATATGTATTCAGACCTAAGTAATGAAAAGGCCAAATGTTCAAGAATTAAAGGATAGCTCGACAGCTGCTCATTACCTTCAACTGAGATCCTCTCCACAGCACGTCTCTCTCCCCGGCTGCAGTGTGGCGGCAGGCAATAACCGCGAATGCTTCGGCCTGTTCGCACACGGGAGCTCAGGACATAGTTGGGGTCGAGGTCATCGCCCCCCTGAGGCGAAAAAATATTAAAATTAAAAAAAAAAAAAACATTCAGTCGAGCACCAGGTAACATTGATTGTACCTTCAGGTTTTCGGGGTCAAGGTCAGTCTTGTGGGTGTCCGATGGTCTGTACCCTCCATGTCTTTCCTGAATTACAAGGTCCATCAAGTCTTTGAAGACTTCGTACGACTCCTCATCGCCAGCCACACAGCCCACAGTCATGATAAAGGGGTGACCTGCACTCATCAAAGTCAACGACAATGCAAAACCTCTCACACGGCTCACTGTAGTGAATCAAATTGTACCTGGATTATCCACTCCTGTCTGAATGGCATCATCGATGGTGAAGCCACTGCTGGTACACTTCTCCCTCAGCTTGTTGTACATGTCCATAGTTAAAAACTTGGCCATGTGGTTGTTGTGCTGACTCAGATTGGGAAAGTCGTCCTGGACTGATCCCTCCCCCAGCTGAAGGTTGGCCATGTCATCAGAGCTGGACAATTACAATTAAGAGCAGGATCTGATTTATTCAGTTGGATCAAGGTAGAGTAGACCCAACCGCTGTCATGCATTGATAGAAAACTTGTCACATTCATCATCCCATGTAGTGTTTTTTTTTTCCCATTTCTTGTGACATTTAGTTGAGATTTTATTTTGGTGATGCCACAGGTTTCAGGCTGTACAGTTTGTCACGACATCGCAGTGATTAAAACAAAATTTTAGCGGTTTGAGGACTGTCATAGGGTGGTAGGACATAAAAGATGAAAGCAGCAATGCACAATTCTTTAATTTCTCCCTATTTGGTGAGCCGTTTTACATTTCAAATACGATTATAGGTTATCAAGGGGTCTCTGAAACAAATGCAGTTATTCAGTCATCTCAGGTCGGAATTGTTGTAACATTAATCTATTTAAAACACATTGGTGATATTTATGTGAAATGTCTTCTCGTCAAGGTAAAAAAAATTGAATTCCATAATGGGTGACCACTATGAAGATGAGGAATGCTGTACATTCTATCAGAAACCATACAGAGCGTTTGAAGAGGTTAATATAAACTTGATGTATCGACCAAATAATCTCATGTTACAAGTGAATAATTACTGGACATTTCCTTGCGTTTGACTTACACTTTTTCAACAGTGTCTGACATGGTTCCGTCTTCTCTCTCCACAGATCCAACTACGTGTAATAAACCAAAATCTGCTCAGTTTTCGGAGATATGAGAAAGTCTCCACAAACAAGAGTTGTCGTGCTGAATGTTTAAAAACACATTAGGATGCGTGTGTTCCAACCTATATAGGCCCAACGTCAGCTTTACGAACTGTTCAATAAACGTGACAGTCCACCACGCGTGCGATCGTTCAAGGACGTCGTGTGGTTGGCGTTCGCTTTGTACAAAAAAAAAAATCCATAAAGGCGTCATTTTCGTATTCGTGACGGGAGCTTTAAATCTTATGGAAAAATGACGCACGACACAATCCACGTTGGTTGTCAACAATGTAATGTGTTGTATCACTGTGACTTGCTTCAGCTTGTAATTTATGTTTTTCTGACTCGAAACTCTCTACTCGTAATTGTTTGACTCATAATTGCCCGCCACCGACTGCGCAAATATTAGGTGGCGGGCGGCAACGAATTTGTTTCAGAAACACTGATGCGAAGATTGCAATAAATATTTATATGATGTGTTGTGTGTGTGATGATGTGTGATGCAGTGGCGTACTTGCCTGACTTGTGAGCGGGCAGGGGGTGGGGGTTCCCACTCAGTGAAGGTATGAATGTGGATGTGGATGGTTCGTTTCTGTGTGTGCCCTGTGACTGTGGCGACCAATTAAGGGGTTATTCCGCCTTTTCGCCCAAAGTCAGCTGGGATAGGCTTCAGCAATTCCTGCCACCCTCTTCAGGATAAATGTGTTGAAAATGAATGAATGGATGGATTTTTCATTATGTGACCACTTGTGGGTGGCGAGGATCTTACAGGGCAACCTTTCCACTTTATTTCATTTTAAATACTTGTGGAACACCCTGTGAGAGACAAATACATAGGTAGGTATGCAGGTAGTGATAGCCAGAGAATACAAAGGTAGCTTGTGATTTGTGGACAACCTTGATTTATGGACGCTCGGTTTGTTTTTTAATCATTTACCAGCGTCAACTGGAATTTTCTTGTGTGCTTTTTCAAAAGGATAGTTTCCACCTATCCATAGTCAAATTTAATGAATTTTTTTGCTTATATACTTATTTTATACCACTGCAGATTTGATCAGTTAGTTTCATTTGTCCTCCTTTAATTTCTCCATTACCTTTTGTGATCTTCATGTGATCCTGTCATGTAGACCCTCAAATACAGTTACTTTCCTGCACTATACTTCAAGGAATATCATACTTAGTCATGAGTCAATATGCCGCCACCATCTAGTCAAAAAACTTTCCAGGATTGTTCCATTGCAGTGGCATCGGTACTGCTGATACGCCAACACAAGGTCATTCATCTTGGCCTTTTTAAACTCCATCCCATCTATGACCTCCCCAGTGTACCTTAAAAACATGTTAGAATTAATGACAACAATGCAGGGGTCATCCACATTTTGCCCTTGGCCACAAGGTTGCCCCCAAGGACAACACAAAAGCCCTGCGGACCTGTTGTAAAAATCAGCTCACCAGGAAATTTGTAAACATGATCATTTGAAAATGTAAACATTTACAGACTTACAGAAATAGAAATAAAGTGATGTATATGATATTTATGTTTCCTAATTATTGTGAGAAATCATTAAGATGACTACTGTGGATACGTTAAAATTTATTTTAATAATAAGACACATAATAATGCAACTACTAAAGGCACAGTATCAGTCAAAAGTTTGGAAGCACCCTCTAATTAATTGTAGATTTCTCGTAAGCCATCAGCATTATGATTAAATATTGATGGAATTATTTGGTAAATCAAAAAATGTTCCTCAAAATGATGTTTTATAATTTAGATTCTTCAAAGAAGGTACCCTTTGTCTGGATCACAGCTTTGCACATATTGGTAATATCTGAGTCAGCTTTATGATGTGGATGATGCTTAATGACCGGGAATTACTTTTACTTCATAGATGTGCATTATCAGGCGATAATAGCTTGATTTTCGAGACCTCTTAATAATGTTGAGACCATTTAGATTTGAAGTGATTTGTTTCCATACTTTTTGACTAGTACTGTACTCTAATTTGAGTGTGTGTGTCACACCCCCTGAACTGATTGCAAGCCAATTGCAGGGCACACATAGAGTAATCAACTAACCATTCGCACTCTCAATCACACCTAAGGACAATTAGAGCAATGAAGTAACTGCTTTCCCTGAGAGGGTTAACCTACCATGCATGTTTTTTGAATGTGGAAGAAAACCCACACAGGCACGGGAAGAACAAACAAACTCCATACAGGAAGACCGGGGGCGGGATGCCAACATGTGACCTCTGCACTGTGAGGAGGACATACTAACCAGTTGACCATTGTGCTGCCCTCCAAATAAAACAATAAAAAATAGTACTGCTGAGCTCCAAGCCTTTTATAGTTTATTACCAATTGTTGATGAATATGTAGCAGAAAATCATAAAACAGAAGGTTTATTCAAGAATTTGAAAGACAACATTTCCTCCAATTCTAGACTGGCGTGTGTGTGTGTGTGTGTGTGTGTGTGTATTTTCCGATATGCTTTATCCTCACACGGGTCGCGGGGGGAGCCTATCCCAGCTATCTTCCGCATTAGGCGGGGGGACACCCTGAACCGGTTGCCAGCCAATCGCAGGGCACACATAGACAAACAACCATCTGCACCCACACTCACACCTAGGGACAATTTAGAGTGATCACTCAACGTACGATGCATGCTTGGAGGAAACGTTGGAGGAAACCAGAGTGCCCTGAGAAAACCCATGCAGGCACGGGGAGAAACTCCACACAGGGAGGCCGGAGCCGGAATCGAACCATGCTCCTCTGCACTGTGAGGTCAACGTGCTAACCAGTTGATCACTGTGCCACCCCACCGATATCCCATTTCAATAAAAAGACCTCTCGATTTGCTTCTCAAAAGAGCATTTTGTGCCCACGTTATGTTTCTATTAGTTCAACATTTAAATAATTTAAAAATTATTGCCCCTTCTGTGCCTTTGCTTCTTCATGTTTCATGCTGGTACCCCGGAAGTCGACCACGGCTAAACCGAAGATGATTGGATTTGTTTTTGCGCGTCATAGTACGTCATTTTCTAGCGACTGTATGTTTCCCATCAACACAGACCAAAAATATGGCACTGTTTCCAGCCTTTGCAGGAGTTACCAGCGACAAGGTTGATGATTCACCCAATGGTAATAATGTCTTCATATTCGACGAGTTACATTTGTGCGTTTATAGTTGTCGTTACATGATAAGAATCTACGAAGTGGACGGCGAACTTTACTTTTCAGTTCAGGGTTTTGAAATGACAGCGTTGATGGGTGAAACAATTCTGTCCATCTCATTGCCATATTTATACCGTTGTGTTAATATTTTACCATCATATTTATACGGTTGTGTTAATATTTTACCATGTTATGTCGATGTTAATCCATTAAAGACACACGCTGATGTCAGTAGTAGCTGCTGGCAAGTGCAACTGTGTTTGAATTTCACCGAAAACTACTAATACAACGTACTGTGTGTAGTATATCAATTCGCAGAGTTGGGAGTAGTCACATACTGTCTGTGCAAGGCATAAGTCTGAAGACTTAACCTTACAATTTTGCTCAAGTCCCAAGTTCCTGTAGGAAAAATCAATCAATTCAAATCGAGGTCCCATTAAATTTGCAGCAAGATGAGTCAAGTCATTTACTTGGGGAAGCAAGTCTTAAGTTATACAGTCATGGTCAGTCACTGCATTATTCGAACATTAGCCTCTTTGCTCAGTATCTGCATTTGCATTTAGTCAGCTGTACTAATAATTGTCAATCACATCAGTTTTTGTTAATGGACTAAGTCAGTCTCCATATTCTGTATTACTTTGTCTTCTCAATTTAAAGTCATGAAGGTAAAGTCAAAGTCATGCTGAATCTTTCGTTAGCTGTAGCCAAGCCATCCCAAGTCCTAAAATGTGCCGTTTAAATCTGATGATTGGGATTCCTTCAACTCTGTCACCTAATAATTTCAGCTAATAATTTGTTGTACTAACCAGCCGGATGGATTTCAGAAAACTGTATTTTGAATTGTTTGTGATACTACACTACATGTCAAGACAGAGTGATTACTTTTCGAGTCTAGTCTAACACCTTTTTTGTTTCATTTCCTCATTTAGAACTGAAATGGCTAAACAATAAGAGTTTTCAGACCAGTGATGCCCTGTCTCTTCATAGTCGCTTCTTGGAGACGAAAAATGAGGGGCTACACAAAGACTTGAGGTAAAATTTTTGGAGCAGTTGTAGGTAAAATAAAGTGGTGCTGAAAAAGGATGGATGGATCATCATTGCCTGTCTGTAAATAGAATACGTACTTTTGTTTTATCCTACACATTGCATTAAATTATTGTGTTTATCCCAGCTCATGTAACTTGTCAACAAAATACAGCCAAATAAAGAGCAAGTCTTTTTTTTTTCTACAAACAAATTGTGGAAGTCGTTTGTTTCGAGTTTCAGGCAGAATGAATATTGAAGTGTCCTTTTTGTTCCTGACTGTTATGTAATTGCTTTATATTGTCTTCTACTTTCTCCCTTTCATAATTTTGCTGCTGTAAATGGGAATTTCTCCATTGTGAGACAAATAAAGGTTATCCTATCTTATATTCAGTTTAGACAGGAAAGATGAAGACACTGTGCCATCGAAGAAGAAAAAGAAGCATGAAAAGCATGGGAAAAAAAGAAAAAAACACAAAGAAAAAGTTAAAAGGTCAACAGAAAGCAGTGGATCGGACTCTGAACCAATCTTCCCAAGTGATCTCAAGCGGAAACAAGAAACAGACCGGTACGCACATCGCCAATTGTGGTTTGGTTAAATTCTACATTTTTGATGACGTCCCTTCAGTTTGAATACAAATAATCATCCACATTGACTCCTGACGTATTTGTTTATGCTTGGTATGTGTGTTCTTGTAAATACAGTCCGCAGGCTGCTGCAATTCCAAGTTCTTTCTCATGGTTGGATGACATTCCGTCGCCCACAGCACAGCCATTCTGTGTGGATTCTAAATCTGATGCGTCCAACTGGACGTACAAGTCTCTGTACAGAGGAGATGTAGCAAGGTAACGCGCACGCTAAACGTTCAAGTTAAAGCCATTTGAACAGTAAGGCCTTGTTCTGATTGATCTGAACACTCTACTGTCCACACTGTCTTTTGCAAATGATCGGAAGTTTTTCGTTCGAAACTGTTATTGCAGGTATAAGAGGAAAGGTATTTCATCACTGGGTCTGGATCCTCGCAGACAAGAAATACGCTGGGAGGACACGAAAAAGAAACATAAAGGGGGCGACAAGAAGAAAGGAACAGACAGATATTTTTTTCCAGCGTGTCGTCTGCTGCTCAGGTCTCAGCCACCTCTCCAGACCTTACCAAGAGTTTGTGAAAGCAGTGATGTCACCAACTCCAACCCTTTTCTCCCACTGGAAGACACTGTGGGGGAGAGAGATGGACAGCCAGGTAAGAAATTCAGCCAAACTGTGGAGAAACATCAAATGGTATCATATTTACCAAAATCATCATGGTAGTTTAATTTTCATGTAAACCTCGAAAGTGGAATGACCTCAAGGTTGCACAATTCAGCAGTAACTGAAAGCGATGTAGGAACGTGAGGATGGCTTCCTCACTAAGATCGCTAAGTTGACAATAGTAATAGTAAAAAGAAGAATGGAGAACACCAGAAGGGTTCTCACCTACAAAGGAAGAGCGGTCAGGAGATTTAAGTGAGGCAGACCCCTCCTGCTGCATAGTCTCTGCATGTGAAGAGTTATATATATATATAT